TTGATATCGTCATATACACAGTTGCACATTGCTGCAATATTATTAATCATGATGGTGATGATGATGATGATGATCCCACATGCAGGAAAAGTGATTAGCTTTACCCTCTCCCTTGCCTCATTGTTTGTGTTGTCACGATGATTGGAAGTCACATGGATGCCTGACACTGATGCAGTTTAATTAGGGTGCCTTTTTAGGGTTGCCCTCGTCCTGGGCTGCAGTGTCCCCTGAGGTTCAGGCTCCTTTATCTGTGGCACCTGCTCGTGTTCTTACCATGGACTACAAGATCATAATTGGTTGTGGTGCACACATACTGGCTGTAGTACCGTGACATTGACACCAGTGCAAGACTGTGCCCCTGATTCCACACATGACACTTGCTTGTGCATTTAGCTGTAGAGCTCACCAGAGGTTGCACACAAGCTCACCAGAGGTTGCACACAACAGTTGTGGTGCTTATACACAGCTGGTTGTGGAGTTTCTAGAGAAGGTATGCAGCCACTATTTTTATTATTATTATTATTATTATTATTATTATTATTATTGAATCACTGTGAGATACAGTTACAAAGTTTTCATGTTTGAGTTTCATCATACAAAGATCAAGCACCCATCCCTCCACCAGTGCACATCTTCTATCACCAATTTCCCCAGTATTACCACCTTCCACCTTTCCCACCCACCCCCTGCCTCTATGGCTGACAATTTCCCCCATACTCTCTTCTCTACTTTTAGGCATTATGGTTTGCAATATAGATACTGAGAAACTATCATGTTTGGTTCTTAGAGAGGGAATTTCCAAGTCAATGATAGTTGGAGGAACCGTTCAGGATTGGAGATGTATGGAGAAAGTACAGCCACTATTTCATTCAGTGCATCCTGTGGACTGAGGCTGGTACCTGCGAGTATACTCTTGCAAGGCATGCGTTTAAGCCACGGAGCACACTGAGATCTTCCTCAGGATATCCTGGCAGTTATCATTTCCCTAGTGTCTCATTCTCTTTTTTTTTTCCCCTTTCTGTTCATTAGTTGACAAATCTTAGTTGTTCTTTATAAAAATTAAAGACAGTAGTAAAGGGGTTTGCCACACAGGTGTCTGGCTCAATTCCTACAGCCACATATATAGTCGCCCCCAGCAACTCCAGGTCGGAGCCCTGAGCAGAGCCAGCCGGAAGTGGCTGAGTGAACACCCCATTATGGAAGAGCCCCACTCAATCACCCACCTCTACCACCAAAGTTCATATTTGTAAACATTCAGGAGCAATGTTTCTTCGAATTTTATCATGAATCCTACGGTGTTCCAGATTCTGAGGTTTTATATATTTTATTTCTTTACATTACTGTGATGGAACTATCACTCCAAGATCAGCCTTATCCAAGGTGATCATCTACACCAGAAGGTGTAGCTCAACCCGCAATTACCTCTTAGTTGCATCTGTATGTAACTGGACTCGCATCTCTAATTTAATTATATAAATGGCATCTCTAACTCTCAAACACAAAAAGTAAACAGCAAATTCTGGTTTTGGTTCTTTCTTCCATCTCAGTGAATGACAGCTTCCTTCTTCTACTTCACGGGGCCAAAATAGTTTGTGCTGTCTTGGCCTTTTTCTTTTCTCACATCTTGCATCTTGTCCTTTACAAATCCGTGTGATCTTTCCTATATATCATGAGTTTTACTGCTTCTATCTATTTCTTCCATTTCGTTCACTTGAGTCCAACTCGACTTTTTTTTTCAGCACTTTTGCTTGAATCATTGCACTAAGTTAGTTCAGAGACAGAATCTGCCTGCTTCCCTTGTCCACTGATCTTGATTTTCAGTGGTAATTACCAGAGGGAGTTTGTTAAAATTTAAGTCAGTTCATGTCCCTTTTCTGCTTGAAAATTTAGAGCAATACTCCTCAACAATCAGACTAAAAATCATAAACCCTTAATATTACCTAAAAGTACCAAGGATATTCCAGACTGCATTTCCTATGTGACTCATTCTCCCTCTGATTTATTATTTTTCCATATAATTTATCACTGTAGTAGCCTATGTGTTTTGCTTTTCTAGTTCCATTCTGTCCCTCTCATTAGAATATAGAAGGCAGGAGGGTAGCAGCTGGGGGGAGGGATCTTTTTGTCCATTATTGTATCAAAGCCTGGACCAGAACATAATACACTTTAGACAGGAAAAAAGATGATTTGGTAGGTTATCAGCCCTCAATCAGAGACCCTCAGAATATTCTAAGAAGGGGCAACAGGTGGAAATTACATAAAGGTTTGGGAGGAAGTGGCACAGGATGAAGTTAGGGGCCCAGAGATAGAACAGCAGAAGCCATATGCAGGATACAAGGTAGGAAGGTGAGGACACACAGGAGCAGATAAAAAATTTAATGAATTAAACAATTTTCTCATGCTATCGCCCGCACGGCAAAGCCTGGCAAGGTCCCCGTGACATATTCCATATGCCAAACACAGTAACAACAAGTCTCATGATGGAGATGTTACTGGGCTTGCTTGAACAAATCGATGAAAAATGGAAGGACAGTGCTAAAAATTTTGACAGTGCTAAAATATCATATATGCTGTCATGCATGCTATTTATTTTGTAACTCTGGTTCAATGTAGAAATTTAAAAAAAATCCTCTGGAATCAAACAAGATTTTGATAAGTAGATTTTATCTTATTATTTGACTTTGAAAATCATACTTAATTTCTCTGCGCATTGTTCTCTCATTGTACGTGATGATAAAGATGAAAACTAGTGGCTGACTCCTCAGGTTTTGTGAGAATGAATATGAGAAAATCCATGTAAAATGTTTAAAATCCATAGAGCAGAGTTGGTAAACTTTAAATAAAGATAGCTCAGTATGTTGTTAAAATAATGTATACGACTTTTCTTTTTGTCTCATGGTCTTTACTTTTCAAAGTACAATCAGAGGCTAATCCATTTGAGATTGAAAATTTTAACCTTGATTTCATTTTACTCGCTGTGAGTTTGGTTCAGACTGATATATAATCAGTAGTTCTTTCAGCGTCTGACAGGGCCCTGAAGTGTTTGAATGGCTCATTTTCAATATGCTAATGCCATATTGGTACAGCCATGTCATTTCATCCATTTCTGTATTATAGGCAACTCCAGAGCGAGAAAAAAAAATGCAATTATATAGCTGACTTTTACATTACACAAAGACCTCCACAGGGAACCATCATAGTACATCATAAAAATGGCTAGAAAGGATTTTTCCTAAAAATAATACTCAAGAAGTTTATTGAAATCATTTTCATTGTAGAAAGGCATCCATGTGAAACTTTACATCACATGTGCAATCAGGTTAAATTTTTCACTTAGAAGAATATCCCTTAGAAGTACAACTTCCCAGTGGAAAACCATGCAGTTATTAGGAACGACTGAATGAGAAAACACTCTGTGATGTGACGGAACCGTAGGGTATCCCATTAAGTGAAATAAGTCAGATGGAGGACTTATACCAGGTGAGATCACTTATCTGTTGAATACAAAGAGACAAAACAAGGGATTGAAGAATATGAAACCATGCAAATTCTTGGCCTGAGATCATATAACTTGGCAGACATTTTGACGGTGGAGAGAAACAGGACTAAAGTTGATGTAAGGATGGTGGTGACCAGTCATGATCAAGTTAGTGATAGCAAAATGCAGCAACATTGTCCACCAATAACAAAATTTAACGGTATTCCAATAGTGTGACTTAAATTATAATATTTTTAAAGAAGTACAGTAGCCTTAACTAATATTCATTAATTCAAATTAGTTTTTTAAATTAATAAATATGCATGCAGGAAGGGCTGGAGAGATGGTGCCAAGGGTTGGGACTTGCCTTGTAAGCAGCTGACCCAGGTTCAATCCCAGCACCTGGGAGTGATCCGTGAACAAGGAGGCAGGTATAAGCTGGGTGTGGCCCCCCAACCAACCCAAAACAAAACAGGAAAAAGAAAAAAAAACCTGCAAGTATACATGGAGAATTCTTTTCTTCATGAGTTTAGTTATGATAATGAGTATGTAGTGGATGGTATATTGAGATTTTTAGTAGAGGTTTGATTACAAAAATAGGAAGACCAAGTGACTAGGAGTTTATGTTAACCATACTTTACTGTGCAAGTTTACTACTGGAGAGGAATTCTTTCTTTTTCTGGTAAAAATTAGAGCAGCTCCAAGATAAATACGTTTTGTTCCGATGTGTTATGAATTGAGTACAGTTTGTATGAAATAAGTAGAATAGAATCCTAGTTAATGCAGTTGCTAATCCTATAGCTTTTTATTCTACATGACTGTATCCCTTTCTCCTTGGCTAGAAAAGATTTATTTCAATAGTTGAAAACCTGAGTTCTAGCCATAGCTCTGTAAATACACAGATTTGCTGTTCTTGATAAAAGTAGTTAATTTTACTCCTTAATTAATTAGCCATAAATTAATTCTATGTGTCAGTTTAAAGATAAGGTTTATATCTGCCCTGCTCTTTACTTTTATTTTTTTCTTTATTTTTTAAAAGTCTTTTGGCCCCTGCTGGTACTGAGGGCTTTCTCCTCACTCTGGACCCCAGGATCACTCCTGACAAGCTCAGGGACCATATAGGGTGCTGGGGATCAAACCCAGATAGGCTGTATTCAACACAAATGTGTTACCTACCCATTACACCATTTCTCCAGCCCCATTCCCATTTTTTAATAAGTGTTTTTAAGTATATGTTCAAAGTGAAGGTATCAAGATGTCGTATATCATATGTTTGATCATTGGGAGTATATTTTGTTAGTTGTTATATCAAAACTGCTACTGGTGCTCTTTCTTCAGCTTTTGCTATTGTCATTTTCCATAGCTTTATATTTTGTTAGTAGAAAATCCAATGATAATTATAGTGATAATTAAAATTTTAAAAATTCCTTCCATTGTTTTATGAGTAAGTTTTGATGAAGCAAGTTCTTTTTGAATCATTACTATCAGTTGCTATGTCATTTTTTTCTTCTCATTTGCACAGGAAATGACTTATTTCTTGTAGCTGTTCATGAACTGGGACATGCTTTGGGACTGGAACATTCCAATGACCCCACTGCAATCATGGCTCCATTTTACCAGTACATGGAAACTGACAACTTCAAACTACCTAATGATGATTTGCAGGGGATCCAGAAGATATATGGTAGGTTGCCACTATTTATTCAATCAATAAAACAATGATTTCAGATTTTCTCTTATTCCCTTTTTTGAGAATAGATACTTTACATTTTGAGAAATCAATCATGCCTTATTGATATCAGTTCCAGATATCTTAATATATAGATCATAAGACTATATACTGATGAGGTGTTCTTACTGTGTTTCAATAATATACTTAAAATTAATCTGGTCAACTTTACTATTTAATATTTAGATTAAAATATAATAAATGAATATAACCAATGAAAACATTTAAAAATACAAATCTCCTACAGAAGATATTTGGAATCTGTAGCAAACAGATTAAACTCTCTTTTCATGAAATTTGATATTAGTTTCAACACATATCACTTCTGATTTTCAAATAATTCCTTTCAGGATAAACTGATAATTGATGAAATAATCTCAACAGGTTGAGTGCATGTTTTGAAAGCAGAGGTCTAACAGGGTCACCAGTACCATACAATCCCCTGAGTACTGGCAGGAACAATCCACAAATTCTGAGAAAAGCCACTGAACACTCCCAAGTATGGCCCCCAAACAAAAGCCAATAACCACAAAATCATGTACTTATCAGCAGTGTGGAAGTTATCAAACATGGAAATAAAAGTTAACAAATGGTTTAAGTTTATGAGATAATTCAGAACAAATTTCTAGTAGAGTAAAAATCATTTTTATTTATGTGATATGGTTAATGAATGCAAATGGAAGAAAAACTATTAAACATATTTACTATAATCCTAACTCTCTCCATAGAACCATTGACCTTTAAAAAGACTTTTATTTCATCATAATTGTTAAGAACTTGAGATTTATAATTTACATATAGAGAATATGCTTCAGTAAATTAATGAAGTAAAGCTTTCATTTTGATAATACAAAGACAAATGTGTGCTATTTGTATGTTAATAGCCAGTATCCAGATGATGGCATTTGCATTTTTAAATAGCATAGTTTAAGTTCACTAATTTATTTTGCATTTATTAGCTTTCCTATTTTAATATCTCTGTGGTAAGTTTTCTCTCAGTTAAAATATATTTCGGATGAAAAGATCATTTTCCAGGCTTTTATTTGGGGGAATACTGAGAAAAGATAAATATCTCTGGCACAAAATAAAATAGTTCATATGTTGAGTGAACTATCTTATGCCTCAGTGTGGTCATCAGGAATTCCTACTAAGTTGTTAACTTAAGTAGGCTTTTTCTCATGACCTCATGAATTAGTAGTCTAGACTAGAGGTCTGTAAGAGAATATTCCTTTCAAATCTAAATGTTATATCCAAACAGTTCTGTGTTTTTTTTCTTTTAAACAGAAATCCCTTGAGAAATGATGTTTTATATCTGTACCAAGTTGTATGTGTAAACTTTGGGTTAGTTTAGAGACCTAGTTTTTAGAAATACTTCTTTTTCACATTAATATTTCACTAGGGGCGTATGAATCAATAGATATTTTAGTTAAAGTATTTATTCAAAAAAGCATTATTCTAGAAGTTTTTAAAAAACATTTTATTTAATCAAATTACTGAATGAAAAAAGATTAGCAATATAGAGAAACAAGGTAGAATAAATTTGGTTTTGTTCCTGTTTATCTTTTAGAAATAATTGCCTAGAATTATCATCTACAAAAATTAGATTAAATGTGATGAAGCCTACATGCATGATTCTGGCATTAATTTCCATGTGTCTATTATTTATATACCACCTACCTCCAAAAAAGATTGCAAAACAGCTGTTTCAATAAAGTTTATGGTGATGCTATTAAAAATCATGAAAATTGTACAAAGCAAACCTAGTCACTTGGATCTAGACTTGAGCATGAGAAGTTTGTGATAGACTTGGCAATGACTTGTTGAGTCGTGCAGTTCATTTTTTCTTTTTTCAGAATCTGGATGGTCTCAGAGACCTTTCTGCTCAGGTTGCCTGTGACCTCTCTGATGAGTGACTGTCCTCTGTCGTAAGCATCTAGCAGCATTCCAGTTTCAAGTGCTGTTCTCTTATTTCCAACAGGTCCACCTGACAAGATCCCTCCACCTACGAGGCCTCTCCCCACAGCGCCCCCACACCGCTCTATTCCTCCCGTGGACCCCAGAAAGAACGACAGACCCAAACCCCCCAGGCCTCCCACCGGCAGGCCTTCCTATCCCGGAGCCAAACCCAACATCTGTGATGGGAACTTTAACACTCTGGCTATTCTTCGACGTGAGATGTTTGTTTTCAAGGTAGGAGGTTGTGTTTTTATGTTTTTTCTTTTTTAGTGATAGATTAAGTACCTACAGTGTCGCTTTAGAAAACAAGTTCTCATTCATTCAAACAACTGCCTTCACAGACCTCTCCCAGAAGTTCAAAAAAAAGCATCTTAAAAAATAAATGCACAAACGGGCTTAAATGTCTAGCATAAGACTGCTGGAGCGTTCTATTTGGGGAATGCGTTTCTGCCAGCAGAAGCTAAAATGCCTAGATATGTGAGGGTAAGGAAATGCTGCATGTTATGAACAGATAAAAAAGCATAATTTAAATCATGAATAGAAACTAATAGGGATGATTTGCTTGGAAGCTTAGCCACTTCCAGGCTCACTGAAGCTCTTCTATATTTGATTTGCAAATCTTTATCATGTCCCTATAATTTCTCTTGACAATTAGACCATTGTTTTTCAGGAAGAGTGTTGATCATTTGGTTTGGTCTTTGGGGGTCTGCTGGTAATTTTGGTATTTAATCTCATCTACTATATCATTTGATTTTGACTATTTATGCTGTTAACTTTAGTCAGGCATTTAGGTCTCCCTAATTTATATTGTTTTATAAAGATTAAAGCTAAGCTAATTTTGCTTTTTTGCTAAATGTGCTTTGTTATGCTATTGCATTCTTAGACAAAAGCATTGATACATAGTATGTCAGTGTAAGTTACATAAGTTGAAAACTAATGACCGGATAGTACTGAAAATAGTTTTCTCCCTTAATATTTATAATCTTAAAGATTAATAAAAACATAATTTTTACTTTGACGGTGGAATGTTAAAGTAGCTATATTCCCTATGCAATTTATTTTCAAATAAGATAATATGCTCTAAATTTTTGTGAACACATATCAATAAATAATGAAATGTATCATTTATATAGACTATTCTACCAACTGGAGAGCATACTACAAAGGTAGAGATTTTAAATAATTTTACCAGACAAAATACTCTCTGTCCTTTATTGGAAAATGAGAATTGGATTTTATGGAACATGTACAGGGGCACCATACTTTCCAGGAAAGAGCAATTCATTTTTTAAACACATGAATATGTTTTTGATTTCTGTAAGTGCTATGCAGTCCTTAATTAGCTATCTCCTGTCAAGCTAAATAGATTAACAAAATCAAGGGATGAGAAAAAAAATTACACTGCATCCCTGCTTCAGCCCCCACCTACTTGATATGTACTTGGTGTTCTAATATCCATGGCAGCTAGTTGATTCAAGAAGAAAAGAGAGAGAGAGAAGAAAGAAAGAAAGAAAGAAAGAAAGAAAGAAAGAAAGAAAGAAAGAGAGAAAGAAAGAAAGAGAGAGAGGAAGGAATAAAGAAAGAAAGACAAAGAAAAATATAGAGAAAGGAAATTAAGAGAAATAAAGAAAAATAAGAGAAAGGAAGGAAGGAGGAAAGAAAGAACGAAAGAAAGAATGAAAGAGTGAGATAAAGAAAGGAAGGAGGAAAGAAAGAACGAAAGAAAGAAAGAAAGAGGAAGGATGGAAGGAAGGAAGGGAGGGAGTAGGGGAGGAGGGGAGGAAAAGAAAGAAAAAAGAAAGAAAGAAAGAAAGAAAGAAAGAAAGAAAGAAAGAAAGAAAGAAAGAAGTATAAAGGAAAGTAAGAGAAATAAAGGAAAGTAAGGGAAAGAAAGAAAGAAAGAAAGAAAGAAAGAAAGAAAGAAAGAAAGAAAGAAAGAAAGAAAGAAAGAGAAAATTAATAGAAATAAAGGAAAGTAAGAGAAAGGAAGGAAGGAGGTAAGAAAGAAAGAAAAAAGAAAGAAAGAAAGAAAGAAAGAAAGAAAGAAAGAAAGAAAGAAAGAAAGAGAATGCATTTGCTTATTCATAATATATCACATAATAACTGAAATATTTCAATTTTATTGTTTTAGCAGAATTTCAGTATTTTAGTTTTCCCTTGGGTATCATAGCAGTATCACCAAAATGTCAACCTTATCTGACTTGATGATGTGGAAGTTGATTCTAGTTACATTCTTTTCATTCTTCCTGTCAGTCTAATTAGTTTATTGATCTCCGAGGAGGCCAGTCTCTCTCTCTCTCTTTTTTCTTTATCTAATGTTCATTTTCTATAGCCATTTTTTATCTCCACGTTGTGGGAATAATGCATAAAAGGCTGACAAAATGAGGTTTTGTACTCACTTGTTCCTGGAACCAGGAAATGGATAAAAAGTACATAGACACAGTCTCAAGTAAAATCCAGTAACCAGTATTTTTATCATCAAGATGTACATTTAAAAAGCATTTACCCCATATAAAGCATTAGAGAACATCTCTCTAAACTCTCATTTTACCTTTGATATGGTGTTTACAAGACAGAGTTCCTAAACTTTTCAGAATTTATTTCTCTTATTAAGCTCTTTCTTTCTCTAAGAATATTTTCTGTTAAGTATATTTTATGATAGATATGTCATTACTATTTTGTAAAAAAAGTTATACCTATCTTGTGGATTTGCTGTATAATAGCTTCATAATTTTTGTATTCACTTAGTTCACAAATGAGTATGTATGCCAGTGGTTTACTAGGATCCAAGGATTTATAAAAAAAAATATATCTTTGCAGAACTCATATCTAATTAGCAAAAAATAAACATAATCCCGACTTCAGTTATGAAGCAGGACTTAAAGGTACAATGTGGATATGAAGAATAATTGGTAGTCTTATTGAATAGATCAAGAAAACTTGATAGAGAAAAACTTATGTTGAATTTTAAGGGAGGAAGTTAAAAGGAAGATTAAAGTAATTTTTATTTTATGCACTAAAAATGTATATCAAGGGAGAGCAAATTTATATATTAACTGTAGTAAAAAATGATATATAATTAAACTATATGCAAGATTTCATCAGAGTAAAAGAGTGTGATTGAGTAATTCCTGTTCTTAGTCAATAGCTACCATGGATTTGAGTTACTAACATAAGCCTGGATGTATGCCAGGTGCTTTACATTTATAATCTCTAGACCTTAAATTAATACAGCAAAATTCATAGCTTTCTCTTTTAAAAATGAGAAAACAGAATAGGGAATATCAAGTAGTTAATACAAGTTAAATGTTTCATGAATAGAATTCACTAGGTTAATATGATCCAGTTGATTTCAGAATCTATATATTTCACACTATATATCCAGAAAGAGTAAATGTGTTAAAAGCAGTGCAAACTATATTTTTAAAAAGTAAATATTTAAGGAATATTTATTGAGCTCTCACTGTGAGCTGCTATTCTAGGTACTAGCAATGCAGCAGTAAATAAAACAGTATGGACCTGCTTTCTTGGAACTTGCATTCTATTTTAAATTGTGTAGACATGTTAAGAATGCTTTATACAAAGATTCCATAAAGTCTCATAAAAGATTGGAGAAAGAATCTACGTGACTGAACTTTCCAAATTCTATTCTTCCTTTCATGATCACTATTTTCTCCATGACTCACTTTTACCTGCAGTCTAGTCTATCTTTTGAGCTTACCAATAAATTAATGTTATTTCCCCAAGGATCTTTCCCTTTGTATCCCTACCTTATAAGTATTTCTCTATCATGCTCATTGTTATTAGTTAGGTCATTTCTTATTCAGATAATTTTTAGGATCACCAACAAGTTAATTTCAGTTTGATTAATTTTACATATTTTCCTTTTTCTTATAAAGTATATACATATATTAGATATGTCTTTATATCCTCAATCAAAACTTTCACCGAGTTTTAGTGTCTGGACTCTTTACACTATACAAACTGTTCCTCATGTCTATCCACTCTGCTCTTTAACCCAAAATATATTTAATAATTTTTAAATTTCTCTCTATATTCAATTAAAATGCATGAAATTTTGGTTGTCTCAATTTCATACTGTTGTATGCTACTCACCTAGATTATAAACTTCTTCAGAACAGGGATTGGTTTATGCAGACTTGACAGTGTTCAGCCTAAATAACAAAGTCCTCAACCTAGTAATGTAGCACTGTAGCACCTAGTAATATACTAAACCATAATTAGTATTATCCCTATAAAATAGTTGAAATGATGTGAAATTACTGGAAGTATTCAGCTTATGAGTTTTTCCCTAACATTTCTTTGGCACCAGCAGCAAAATGTTTACAGTAGTGTTAACATTTAAGCTATTTTATGTACAAAGTCATCACCAAAATGCCACACACCCTCCATGAGTATCTCACTTCCTCTCCATTTCTTCCTTCTCCCCAACACCTTGCTGGCAATGTTCCTTGTTTGTGTAGTGCCATGAGGAGCTTTTACTTAGGAGTGAGAATTTGCATCCAAGGTAAAGCACTTGACTTGCATGTGTGAAGTCTGAGCTTCAATTGCCGAAACCCTCCCTCCCCCACAAACACTCTATGTATTTAATATAAATTTTAAACAAAATAAATGATATTAGTAAAATGTACTATTACCAATTGCGCTGTAGCACTGCCCTCCCATTGTTCATCAGTTTGCTCTAGCGGGCACCAGTAACGTCTCACAACAAATTGTGAGACTTGTTGTTACTGTTTTTGGCGTATTGAATACGCCAAGGGTAGCTTGCCAGGCTTTGCCATGTGGGCGAGATACTCTCGATAGCTTGCCGGAGGAACCGAACCCGGGTTGGCTGCGCTCAAGGCCTTACCCACTGTGCTGTCACTCCTATTACCAATAAACTCAAAAAATCTTTTATTAGTGATAAATGTTTTCAGTAAATATTTTCTTCATCTGAAGAGTTTTAGCATAATTATTTTGGGTAGAAATCTTCCTTCTTTTTTTAAGTCAGTAGGTTTATATTGGACTTTCCAGGGACCCATTTATTTTGAGTGAATTTACCTGGACAGGTATTTTTACAAAACTTTGAATTATAAATAAGTGCATACATGCATATACACATCCATACATGTAAATCTTATTTTCTTCTATATGAAAATTTGTATCTTGCCTATAGCTTCATAGTTGTTGGGCAGTATCAGCCACCTAAACCACAAAACTGAAAAGTTAATGAT